AAACAGACACGAGGCGAGATGCTGGGAAAAGAATCTCCCTCTCTGGGTATGATTAATGAGTAGAGGAAGACGTCCCTGCGGTGGATTTACAGTGGGTCACAGAGAATGAGAGATTGCTTGATGGACAGCAGGCGCTAAAATCCATCCACGCTTAAGTGCCACTTCAGCCTCCACTTCCTTTCTGGCCAATTTACAGAAGGATTCCGCTGGAAAACTGAATTAGCTGGGAATTAACTCTATCCGTGCAGTGAAAGGCTGGAATTAGAGGTGCAAAGAGGTATAAAAAAAAATAATGCATAATTGCCATATACTTTTTCATGTTTCTCCTCTATAAATTTCCGCCAGACCTCTTTCAACGCTCAACGTGCCTGTAAATATGCTGAAGTGCAGAGAATTTTCATTAAAACATAGGAAACTTTAAACTTCATCTCATGATTTCTTAAAGACTTTCGCATTCCGATGAGCTTCAACAACTCGAATCTCGGGTAAATCATGAGACTTTCAGACCTCATTTCACATTAAGTCCTGCCCGAAGTTGCCTGCGGCATTAATTGGATGAGATGTTAGACATGTTAAAAGTATCTCATGAGAGTATTCATAAAATTTCACTGCTCCCCCGCCAAGCTCTGCACCTTGTCTGCCATTGTGTGTATATTAATTTTGACGATGGCAATATGTCGCTTCCATATCTGTCTTCAGCATTACTGCGGGAGTCACGACGTGAGGGTAAATTTCCAGGCGAGATGTGAAATTTTCATTATATTTTAATTAACAATGGTGAACACTGAGAATCTCTTTAGCCATTTTCCACTACACTTCTTGCATATGTATGATGAGAATCTCAGTTGAAAGTAAATGCTGGGGGATTTTTACCAGCAGGCGAAGTGCAGGAAAATTAATAGAATGCACTTCAGCGGAATTGTGGTGACATGAAATTGAATTCAGGAGGGGAAAAAGTCCGTCTACAAATCACTGGGTGATTCTTGCAGTGATATTTAGGGCAACCAGCGAGCGTTCTGCATTCAACAAACTTTTTCCATCTCTCGTGGCGGGAAAATTTAGCAGAGGAGGAGCGAGAGTGTGTGAAAAGTCAGGAATAAATCAGCTGAATGTGACAAGGATATTTGTATAATCGTCACATTCCGTGTCATTGACTCAAAATCCCTCCGCCTTTTTGCCCTCGTCTGGGGACAATTTCAGGACACTCTCTCTCGCTCTGTTCGGCTAGAAACATCCCATTTATTTGGTCCATGAGCATGACACAGGATAAAGTTAGATGGGATCCTCTGGAGAATGTGCACGAAGAGAGGATGATTTTTTCTTACACTATCACTTCGGTACATGAAAAGACGTTTCAATGAGAATGACACAGATTGTGATTATTTCTTCTTACGTTCCACCGAAGAGGAGGAATTCCTTCGAAGAGTGTTCAGTCGTGCCATTTTCTCTGCTGCACCGAAATCCTTACCTCCATTCTTGCCACCCAAAAATACCACCAATGTGAAGGAGGTAAGAATTCTATGACCGACTTTCCGCCCCGAAAGCTTTCGCTGGAGAGCTTTGTTTCAAGCCCAAACAGAATATGCGATATAAATTTGGTGCTCCACGCTGCACTCTCTCATCTTCGCCCCACGAGGAGCTGGAGAGGCGCTTTCTGAACTAGATTACAGATACACATCCATTCACATTACGTCCTGGCCATGCACACACCGTCGCCAACACTCTGCGCCACAACAAGTCCCTGAGAGGATGCTCCAGAGCTTCCGAGCAGGGTGAATTTTAAAGACCTAAACCCTTTGCCAGTGAATACAGTGAGTCGGGATGCCTGAGATTTGAATTAACAAACTTAATAACTATTTAACTTTCCCACTCACAAGGCTCAGAAAAGCTCATTTGTTAGGTAAGTTTTCTTCTCCAATACATCAGCTTCTCCTCTTCATCAGCTGAGAAGTCAATGAAGTGGTGTTATTTTCATGGTGATTTATTTTCAAATCCGCTCTGAACTTTGTAAAATCTCCGCTTGCTTGTCTTCCCGGAAGCCCAGGGAGAATGTGAAACTTCTGAGGTTGCAAACGTGAAGTGGACAGAGAAAAACGCAGTATATTTGAAACGATACTTGAAAAAATTTCCAGAAATGAACACAGGAAATTGCACGAAGCAACAGAAAGGGTTAAAAGTGGGTGAATTGAAAGCTCTGCGAATTTTCAACAGTCTTTTTTTTACAGTCTTCACAAGGATAAACATGGTAATTTGATTTGAGCAGATGAGAGTGTCGGTTTCAGAGGAAAATATCTGTTGTACCGTGGAAGAGCTTTTTCACATTGTCACTATATATATATATAGAGAGGACGAGGTCTTCACACACCGTTTCAGACACCAAATTCCACTTGGACTGTGTGAATTATTGCTAAAGCCACTCACAGTCTTTCCTATTTTCCACCCACAGCACTTTTGAAAGCCAGGAGATTCTTCAATGATATAGGATTTTTTCAACATTTTCTCACCCTTTCTTTTTCATGGATTTCGTGTGAAATGTGGTGAAGCACAGGTTGAGCAGAGCAACTTCCGTGTTTGGACACAACATTCATAAACTCTTGATTTACAGTGTTGCCAAGAGAAAATGGAGGGAAACTCATCAGGAACACTTGAGATTTTTATCAAAAATATAAACTTTGCAGCAAATCAGTCGACTGAGCCAGTGGAAATGGCGAAACTCTTTCCACATGATATATTTCCTACTTCAAAGCGGAGAAATTCCATGGGAAATGTGAGAAATTTGTTTGGCAAATAGAAAAATGTTTGCTCATATTTCAACCGACATAATGTCTTAATTGTTGTCGATTTGTTGTGCTACTTGATAACTTGTTCACATGTTAAAAGTTCATTGACTGCCGCTGAGCAGCGCGGCATTTGGGAAGTTCCAGTGTATTTGTCAGATTTTCCGACTTCACGGCGTGCGAGGAAGTTTATCTCCAAATAAAAGAAGAGAAAGAAGAACGGCGGATAATAGCAGAAATTTTCTCTCTAATTTCGAAACAAATTAAATGAAATTTATGTGGTGGATATGCTAAACGAATAATGGTCCATTTTACATTATCTGCAATCTCTCACCCTCCGAAGAGCATCCGAAAATATATGTTTTGTGATTCTCCGGAGAGTAGCAAAAGTGCGCAAGAATTCGCGGTTATTGTGAAAAAAAATTAGGTCAACATGTTCAATTCCCATGCACAATTGCACGTCTCTTCAGTGCCGTCAGTGGGGAAATTTAGTGCATATACACATGAAATAAAAATTAAAAGCGAAATTTGCAGCATATTGTAAATGTTATTAATTCACAATGTCAATTTCTTCCCTGGTGAATTTCATGGCAGAACATTTTGCAATAAAATGCATTGAATGCAGTTCGAGAATAGAAATTATTAATAGATTGAATGTAAAATATTCAACATATATTCTATACCTACTAAAGAAACTCCAATTCGAATTTACCAAAGAAAACATATATCTCAGCACATTCTGAAGGGACTTCTAAATATTGATTTTCTCAACTAAGTTGTTTCCATTCTTTATTTGATCATTGTGTCAATAGCAGTAAATATGCACAATATGTGAAATCAAAACAGCAAAACTCTGCCATTTTGTTATTTTATTTTATTGCAATAAAAGTGGTAACACAAATTGCTTCCTAGCCAAGTTCACCAGAAATAATCAAAAATCGATGGTGATAGAGTGAAAATTGGGGATTGAAGCTTTCAATTGTTCCCCTCAACTCTGGAGCTTTATTAAAATGCTATTCAAAAGCAAGAGTATCATATGTCGAATTCTGCGTACATCCGCTTTTATATACAGTGACTTCAAGTAAAATAGAGTCACCTGAGGCTCTGAGACAGATTGATGTACCGCGAATTTTCACGTGAAGCTAAAGAACCGAATTTTGGTCATAAATCCGTAGTTCTTAATCCCATTTTTGACACTAAAACACAATCTAGCGATAATTATCGCTAATCCGACCTTTATACACTCCAAGCTTTTCCACGGAGGATTGATTCCAGTTTGCGCCGATTCGAGATTAACCCGCAAGTCTGTAGTAGCTATAATCAGTAATCAACCTTCAAGTGGCTCTATTTGATTTGGAATCACTGTACATCACCCATTTAATGAAAATGGCGCTTTGCGTGTGTGACACTGTGATGCTGCGTCGATTGCCTTGAATTTTCAGCAATTAGCATTTCCTGGGAGTTGCATTATGATATTTACAAAGGGAACATCATTACACTTTTGAGTAATTCAGTGAATTCGCCAAAATTTAATATTTTCATCATTATATTCATAGCCAAAACTTTGGTGGAGCTTTTGACAATTCTCCCATGAAAATGATTGTCAATAAAATATATTTATCATAAGGCTTCGTGTCTTTTTCTATTTTGCAATGCTGTAGCATTCAGATATTTTTAAATCATGCAAAGAACACAGTTTTCAATGGCATACAAAAATGTATGGAAACCCAGAACTAAAATCAATTAGTCAAAAAGTAGAAAAATTGAATACCGCGTTAGGGTTAATTTTGAGAAACTGGAATTCCACTTATGTATTCACTTCATTGTTTGCCCACACTTAATGCGGGAAAATATAAAGCACATCTGTTCGGTACCAAAAATTATTTGTGATATTATTCAAACACTCGTAGAAGCGTGAATCATTCGACCTTCTCTGTTGACATGCCGGGGATTTTTCAGTTGAGTACACCACAAATAGAGTTTATTCAAGAGTTTATTTGAACGGTACACGGATGCGGAAAATTTAACATCCAGAAATAGATGAGATCAAATCAATAGCATGAATAGTTATATTCACGACCAAATCTATTTCTAATAAATTTACAATCTTAGATACGCACGCATTTCTATGACTAAAATACGCGAGCATAGTTTTTCTTTGTGTAGTGTATTTTGTGGTCACTACCTGTCCACCAATACAACATGAAGAGTGTATAAAAGATCTCTCTAATGATTGTCAATGATCAGTCACACTTGGATCACTGATTCTCTGAAGCTTTCCGCGATGAAGACCTTTGCATTTGTGATTTTCGCCCTTATAATCAGTGCCATTTCTGCAAACGGAGGTAAAATTGTGCAAGAAACTAGAGTGTTTTGCAACTGACAAGTTCCTTTTTCACGCAGAAGAATGCACTGGAGCCAATCAAGTGTTCGTGAAATGCGGCCCGTCGTGTGATAGTTACTGTGATGGACATGATTGTGGAATTCGCTACTTTGTATGTCCTGATCAGTGCTACTGTGCTCCTGGATACCTTCGCAACAACGCCGAGCAGTGCATTCCGAAGCAAGAGTGTCCATAAATGAGTTGATTCGGGAAAGTTCTCATTGCATTAAATCACACAAACAATATTGTTGGTCTTTTTTATGGTCTTACCGGCGTGTCTGCGCCATGAATGTCAATATTTTATAACTAACGACATCACAAATTAGTTTTTTTTACCTCGCCGACCTTCAAAGGCTTCGTGCACTTTGGTGAGCACATTGACAATGTTGGCATAAAGTGAACGAGTGGTGTGCGACCTGCAATATAGCAAATGTACCAACAAATGTTCTACTCGAAGGGCTTCCGTCACAACCCAACGAGATGAAACACTCTCTTTACTGTCGATAAGTGGCCACTGAATGTCAGAACATTGTCCATAAGAGAAGTCGAGAAGCCATGGAAAGTGTATCAATTCTCTCTTGCTCTAATCTCATTGTGCAATCAATTAATTGCCCAGTAATTGATAAAAGCTCACGCAAATTGATGTCGAACGAGAAAAAAAAGCGCACTTGATGAGCTTCAATTATAACTCAGCGAGAACAACACAATTTACCCCAGCATGATTGAAATTCCATTCACGAGAAATTAAATTAAATGGTCATGTTGTTTTTCCGCCATGGCTCAAAGCCGCATGTCACCAGCTATAATTTGCCAGAGGAAAATATTCCCGAGTTTATGGCGCGGAATGCGGCATATATATATCATTAGGTTAATTTTCCAAGAGGATTTTCCCGTGTTTCCCATTAAGTATCTCCATGTTCTTTCATGTAATTAATTTTGTTGAATTAAGTCTTATCATTTGCTTAGCATTTCGGTGGGCAAAAGTCGAGAATCACTGCAGATTTATTTAATAACAATCACCAAGTCTCGTGGAAGTTTCGTGGGAATTTTCATTCTCAAGGTTTACGCGCCATATATTGAATAATAAGTGAGCTCTTGGTTTCCATTGAGAGGCCAAGAAATGGGAAAGTTTTGTGTTCTCGGAAAAATTACACATCGTTTTTGTAATAATATTATTTCAGTGAATTTACAGCTTAAATCCTTGTGATTTGGTTAACCACAAGCGTTTTGCTAGTTGCTTATCAACCCTTTGTAGTCTTGTTGCTCCCCAACGTGGCCACTCGGGAGAGAAGTTGAGTTGGCAGAAGTTGTGTGAAGTTTTCCTCCAGTTTGATGTTGTTCTCTTCCCCTCTATTCTCTCCACTTTTTATGACCCCAAAACAATAACATGAAAATTTCCAGTGAAAAATACATGGTAAACGCCTCTTTTTCTGCTTCCTTCTTCCACTTTGAGCTTTTTTTTCCTACTGCGCCGCACTTTTCCACTAAAAATCGAGACGGAGAACGAGGACAAATGTGAGATGAGAGGAGGAAAGCTTTGAGGAAAGAAGGAAAAAATGAACATATTGCAAACTTTGTTAAAGTCTTGTCGTGGCAGACCATTTATCAATTGGCCACAAGGCTCAGGGCGGCCGAAGTGACGCCACAGAGAACTCCAGAGGCTATGGAGGGGCGGAAGGCGGGATTTTTCCAACCACGAGGCAAGACTCTGTTTGCCTTTGTCCCCATTAACCGTCGCCAATCTCGTGATTTGAATCACTGGCACTCGCTTTAATTATTATGATGACAATTTCTCACTGAGCCTGAGGGCAAATTAAAGTGTTTCAGCCCAATGGAATGAGTCTTCTGGTGATGCTTGAGGGAAACAAAGACCATCAATCACCACAACTGTGATTGAGGGTATTTAAAACTTTTATTAAAATCACATAATTACATTATTTGTGAGGCATTTTAATATCCATTACGAGTTGTATTTCAACTGCACGCCAAGAAGAGCAGGGATTAAAATGCTACAAATGAAATGAAACTAACCACTTCAAACATCGTGAATCCTGTTGAATTACTCAGACGAGTGGAGAGGAAATTCGGAGAATTAAAGTAAAACATTCGTATAGTTATGATAGAGAGTGTGGTGAAAGTGCCTCAAGTGAGCGGCATTGCTGTCTTTTCTAACTTTTTGCCTTCAAGAACATTCCGCTGAGAGTTAAACAAATTATGAAATTTGTATAGATTGGATTAAAGTGAAGTTCATTAAATTTAACATTGCCCGCAAGGCAAAGTGTGGTAAATAATTAATATGTGATTGTTTGTGGAACAATTTTAGACTTGCATGAGAAGCGAGTGGATACTTTCCTGGCCATTACCGTCCATCCTCATGCCTTCTCGGCCTCCGATCTGGGATTTCGGTGTGGCGCAGCCGAAAGAAAATGCCCCGAATCCAATGAGCGCTGGTATGCAATGGTGTATGAATTATAGTACTTGGCGGGAATCCTGAAATATCCTCCTTTCCACTTTCAGGCGCTCGAACATGTGTTTAAAGCAGATGAAAATTCCTCTCTCGCTCTCAGCAAATTTATGGAAATTAATAGATGTTGGGGTGTGGCGCGACACACATAATATCCTTTTTGAGTATCCGTTAATCCCAATCTGCGCTGTGCTCGGCACAGAGAGATGAAATTCACTCTTGCCGCCTCGCCATCGCGAAGTGTGAGGATCCCACGCCGCCCAGTGCCGAGTGGGTCGGTAATGTGTTTTGGACACTCTAGCCAAAGTGCATTTTCACCCGCCACTTCGTGATATATCACTTTAATTGGTATCTTCTTTGTATCTCTCCTTGCGCATCACATTCCACCGCCCACCACCCACTGGATTCCCCTTTGCGTCCGGCGAATGGACACGAGAAGCGTATCTATTGAATTGAATCATATAATTCCACACTCATCCCACGATGGCTTATTAATGTTTGCCAAAATCAGATTACATTCTTGCAGTAATTTGTTCATACATCTCGCAAATTCTCAGATTCAATTGTTCCTCATTGGAATTCAGCAATGTCCCGAATCATAAATCGCTCAAAAGTGGATGTCGAGCGGTCTCAACACAGCTGCGCAACTTCCTCAATACATTCATGAGTTGACCACAATATTTTATACCGAGAAAGTGAATTTATTACTCAGAAAGCCTGCACTATTTCTGTTTGACGTATTTGACCTGTGATTTATTGTAGAAATTGCAAATTATTCAGCTGCAATTGTTTTGTGACAGCAAAGCTGTTGGCATGAAAGTGACATGTGATTTCTGAAGTAAAAACCGTCACAACATAATATGGAAATGTATTAGGAAGCACAATAACAAAAACAAAAATCCACCATAAAAATAAATGCGAAAATTCGCGAATAATTGGCCGAAAAATTAGCACCAACGTATATAAAAGAAGAAGAGATATTTTGCAGTATCAATCGCGCTGAGATTTTTACCAAGTCGTGAAGTAAAAATAATTTCTATTATGATCGTTCCCGAGTATATTAATAGATCGTTCTTTGAGCAAGTTCTCAAATGTGGCTTCAAATTGCAAGACTTCAAATTGCTGAACTACGATATTCAGTTCGGTTGTGCGCCTGGTGAAAACTATTGCAGCACGATTTATCGCGTTGTGATTAATTATCAAGATAAAGATGGGAAGGAGAAGAGAGTGCAGTGCATTGTGAAGTTTCTCCTGAACAGTGATCTGGGAAAGCAATTGATGGCGAGATCGAAAGTCTATGAGAAGGAAGTTGACATGTTCGATAGGATTTTTCCGAAGCTGAGCAACATTGCAGGAGGAACAATTTTCGGACCACGGTAAAATTGAAAATTAATACATTTTTCAACAATTTCGTGCTATTAAGACGTGAATTTCAATTTCTAGATTTTACTACACTCTTAATGATGAGAATGCAAAGATCATCGTTGTGGAAGATCTCGGAGAAATGGGTCTGAAGATGGCAAACAGACAAGAACTCCTTGATTTCAACCACTGCGAATTGGCGCTTAAGAAGCTCGGCAAAATGCACGCAGCTTCCATGATTCTTGCCGATGAAGATCCCACTTTAATGAACCTCTACAACTTTGGACTAATGGAAGGAACAATTGAAGATCCGGGTCTGCTTCAACAGTGCTACAAAGGAACATTCCCAATGCTCTGTGACATTGTGAAAACTTGGCCCGGATATGAAGACATTGCCAAGAAGATGGAGAAGTTGAAGCCCAATATTTGGGAACATTTTTACGACTGCGCGAAGACAAAACTCGATGGTTATCGAGTTTTGAATCACGGTGACTTTTGGATCAACAACTTCCTCTTCAAATACGACGAACAGACCAGAAAACCCATCGATATTGTGTTTGTGAGTAGACAAAAACGCGCGCCATTAAGTCCAAATTATGTCTATATATCGCATTTATTAGGTAGATCTTCAATTTTCGTACTATTCTTCACCAGCGCACGACCTTCAGTATTTTCTCAACAACAGTCCAACATTAGAGGTTCGAGAAAATCAGCGAGAATCGCTTTTGCGCGTTTATTATGACGCATTTCGACAGACACTCGAAGATCAAAAGCAGACAAATATTCCCTCTTTTGGCGATCTGCTCGAAGATATGGGAAAACGCGAAATGTATGGCTTTTTCACAGCCACTCATATTTTTCCCGTGATTGTAATGGAACGTCAATCTGAGCAGGGCAGCGGAATTGATGGTTTGATCGATGAAGAAGCTGCTAAGGACATGCTCAAGATCATGCTGACAGGGAAGAGATTTGCTGAAGTCGCGAGAAGCTTCTTGAAGCACTTCGACAAGATGAAAGTTCTTGATTTGTAAATATTTTTCGTTTGGAAACAAATCTCTCAAACTGAAAAAATGTAATCAATATAAAAGTCGACATCTATTGACAAAGTGTTGTTAAAATTATCGTATTTTGCTATTTGCATCATTTGCTGAAAGCTTTTCCTCGTTACTAAGGGTGATTGAAATAATTGAAAGCCAATTAAGTCCTGCGAAAACAATTATTTTCCCATTTAAGAGAGTGAATTTTAGTCCAGAATAGATTTAAATGAATTTTTTCTGCTGTGGCAGAGACGAACGCTCGAAAATAACTGCAATTTAATGGACTCGTGAAGGATCGCTCAGAGTTTGTTCTGTGGGATATTAAAAGAAATTAGGCCTCAAGTATTTCTTTGCACGAGAGGAGCGACTTGTAAAAAGGGAATCACGTCTGTGACAGTCTCGAGTGGTGGGTTTTTCGCTGGGCAGCAATTGACATGGAAGTTGGACGTTTGGCCTCTCTGGCGCTTTGTTCAGTGTGATGAAAATGCCCTCTGGAGATCAATTTATACACCCCACACTCGGAAAGAGCTTTCGCAGCAGACTTTTGCACTGGACACAGTCATTTATTGTGTCACGTAGAAGAATTGTGTCGGGCAACCACGACCAATTTCATACAATCGTGAACGATAAACACTTTGTGAATTGACCACATCTTCGACTCCCTCGAGACACTCTTCCAACCATCTTTCACCCCAATGAGACCACATCCGATTGGATGCAGCGGTCAGAAGTGTCTGTGCTGTTGCCGTATAAATCAAATCTCTCCTCAAGTGCCTTCCCAAAGTTTCCCGGAGCGGAAAAAATGATGCGAGTTCGTCTCATTTGCGCAATATCCGTATTGAAAATCTATCGAGCTTTTCGCGTATAAAAGAAAGCTTAATGGTCGAAAGAGATTTTCATTGGCAATTCAATCTTTTTAGAAATGATTTTTCCCCAGCGAAAAACCTGCTCAAAACGAAGAATTTCGAATGAAAATTAATTGAATAGCATTTGCTTCAACATTTGCACACTAAACAAATATTTTTCTTACCTCCAGAAGCATTATTTCCCACTTGAGCCACTTGAATTTCTAAAGCAAAGCTCTATATTTGAAATGAACTTCCGCTGAGTGAGACACAGAACAGATGGAATACATTAACAGTCAGTAAAACGAGAGAGAATAATGCTGAAATGATTGTATAATTCTCAATTATTGTAAATTGTAATGGCTTATATAGTTCCTTTCATTCTCCATCAAGAAGAGCTTTTACATTTTACTACATAATCTCCACTCACTGACTTTTTTCAACCATTCGCTGAATCACTTGTGATTTTACTTCAATTAAATTGCATATTGAACAGTTTGTAATTCTTCTGCTTAGTGTTTATGCAATTTATTACACAAAATCACTCGCAGAGTTTCAAATAACTAATTAATTACACCGAAATTCAAAAATTCTACAATATCGCGATGAAAGCTCAACACAATATTCAGTCAATAAATTTAAACACAGGAGATTTTGTAGTAAAATTGTGAATGTGAAGTGAATCAAATCCTTATTATGTCGGTTGTTTGATAACACAGTGGTTTAGTAAGTCTCAATATGATAAATTCCAGGCAGTAAATTAGATATTGTTGCTTCCTCTGAGCGCAACTTTGGCGCATAGCTTTGGAAACTGAAAGCGCTCTTGCTCAGCAGTGTGTGAAGATTTTCAAGGTGGGCGGAAAATTTAATTAGCAAATACAAATTCGTAGGGAAAAGGCCCAGTTTTTGAATGAATTTTCTCAACTCTGGGAAACCTTGTGCAATTTGACTCTTCACGACAGGAAATTATTGATCTTTTAAGCTGCTCTGCGGCTGGCAGTGGCGGAAAAAAAAACGCTTCTGTAAATTGAAAATAATTCTCAATTGTGAACTGTTGTTAATTCCCCTTGAGGAAATATTTTCTGCCCGCGCCATTCTCTCCTATTTGTAGGTCAGATGGAAGTGGAACCGATATAAATCTCCAACTTTTCCTCAAGTGCTGCAGAGAAGTCTTATGTGAGAAACTTTTCACCGAGCACAAGTGCAATTGGTGGAAATATTTGTGCGAGGAAGGATGCCAAAAAAATATCTCTCCACTAAATTTGTTCCGTGGCCCTCCCTCTCTCACTCTGTCGCGCGCTCTCTCTCTCTCTCTCACTCGGACGTCTTCATCCGATGGCACGAGGAAAGGTGAGTCGAGACGGAAGTCTGCGCTGAGGTATTGCAAGGTTTGAGGAAATTAAATTAGTCATTGCCGCAGTCTCTTAGTTAAATTGTTACATCCTCCCACCGTTGGTGCATTTCTGTGGAAGAATTCTTAAATTGCCTGAGACAGAGTCACATTATCCTCGTGTGGGTGAAGCACTTGACATTTTTCTTAAAACTTTCCCACCCACACTTTACGGGGAAAGATTAAAGACCAGTCTGTGAATTTTTCACTCTAAAGTCACCTTCAGGTCGTGTGACAATTGTGGCAGATAATTGTCCGGAGGTGCTTTCATGTGGGCTGAATTCAGTCATTCTCCGAAGCTCTCATTTATTAATGAAATAACAATAAGAGTCCGAGTGTGGGGCCGCCCTGTCTCATCTTCCCGCCGCCAAAGACACGATGCCACTCGAAATTGAGTGGAAAAAGTAATGGCATCATCGGCAGTGTCGGGAAGAGGACGAGACATGAGCAAGAGCTACCGGCGATATTAACTGAAATGATCAGAAAATTGCCATGAAAGACGCTCCACGAACTCCTCACATGGAGTGCTGGAAGCGAGGAAAAAAGCGATAATAATGCAGAAATGGGGAGGGAGGGAGCGCCAACAAAAGCTGTGGCACAACTCGGCGGAGGTAGTCCAAAAGTGAATGGGAGTGTATAAAAATAAAATAATAATAGGGATATACAATGAAGATGATGATGTTGCTGTGCTTTTTTTCCCAGCTGCCCTCCCTCCATTTTCCCTCTTGGCGCACTAATTTCCCCCCTCGACATCCATTCACTCGTGGGGGAAAAGAATTGGGGTGGATTCTTACCATTAATTTTGTCTGATCTCATGCATTTCGCCCGCTGAAAGCTCAACGGGGAAGCTTTGGCAAGAGAGAGCTGAAAAAGCATTTCTCTTCTCCTCCCCACAAAGCTGATATGAAGATTATTTATTCACCCTTCTCTAGCCCTTATTAAGTAATTTTCACGTGCAATTGTCTCGCCAACCACCGGAAAATCTCAATAGAAGGGAAGGGAACACACGTAGAAACTTTAAAAATTGTCTGCCAGAGCGGGAAAAGCGCAGGGTTTTGGCAAAATTATCCCACAGCTTCTCCAGATCTGGGTCTTTGAGGTGCACACTCCAGAAGACATTGTGGCAGAACAGGGTGAAAGAAGCACACCAAATACCATTATAAGTTTTACCCCGAAGGATTTCCTTCCCTGTGATCTCCCAGAATTCGCTTCTTTGGCCACCGCAACCCCTCGGTCTCTGGCGAGAACGTGCTCGCCATAAATTTCTCGCAAGAAAACTAAAGCATGGATGCTTAGCATTTTGGGTGGATTATCAGTTTGTGACGCACAGACACACAAACTTTCTTCCTCGGAGCGAGTTTAGGGTGGGAGATTGGAATTGGAAAGAGTTAGCAGTTAGTCAAATGATTCAATTATGTCACAAAGAAGTCGGAAATTACGAAATTGGATAAAGTTTTCACACAACCGCGTGCACTATTGGAATGTGGAGCATTCAGCGAGGGTGCCCGAGGGTGGATGGCAAAAATTAAATTGTACGATGGCAGCGGGAAAATTTACAAGCACGCAGAAACTTGTCGCTGAGGGTTAAAAGTGGGACAAACAGGACAGAAGACGGCAATGAATGGTGGTTTAATAGTAATTGTAGTCAATTTATAGCAGAATTATGCAAATGCTTTAGCGATTGATTCGCCTTTGGGGCTGAGAAGGACATGCACAAGCATGAATAATCATAATTTCGCACAGGAAGGTCCCCAACATCCTGGCGATAGGTATGACTTCCCTTCCCAAGGACTCATTTACTTTCATAAATCAAAGCAGAGCTCCCATCATCTCATCCTGTCTCTTGTCTCACAGCCACAAATCCTCTCTGTCTCTCAGTCCAGTTTTCCTGAGGTGGGAAGAGTCAATTCTACGAAGCACTTGCTTATGTGACGCCACATCGTCTCAACAGACACCCAAACACTGGAATTTACGTATTATTCACCGAGGAGACAATTCAATCGATTGTCCTCAAGTCCCGTGAGGATAAAGTTGAAGAATTCACTGAAAGCACTTTATGCACTTTTCGCATTAAATTTTGCGCCACAATTTCCGGGACAAATTCAACTATCGCACTAAATTTTGACCCTCACGAGAGTCTCAGCATGACTTTCTCTGGAAACGAGCTTCACAATTGACCCAAATTTGCTATCAGTTAATTGTCAGATTTAATATTTAGATTATATAATAAAAAATCTATTCACACAATTCATTTTATACAGTGCTAAAAAAGATTAAACAACTAATCGATAGTGGAACGTGGTGAAAAGTTCTAATCTCTGCATCCGCAATTACAATCTGTTCTTTAATGAAGTGCTGAATTGTATAACCAATTGACTTTATCGTGACAAATTTTTCGTGAAATTCTTCAATTTATTCATGCAATAATGAAAAAAATACCCGAAAAACATATGCGACACAGTCATTTATTCAAATGTCAATAAGAGATATGGAATTAAATGAAATTTAGCAACATTTCAAGTGTCATAAATCAAGCGTTTCAGTATCGCACGATTGCTTCACGAGGAAATGAATCAATTTGTCAAAATGGAACCTTCAATGTATACACATACAGATCTATTTTGCACGAGAGTTTAACCCAGCATCGATTGCACGATATGAATATCACCTCATATAATCTATATCATAAGATATTTTCTCGCATTATCTCCAACCTAATACAGCTCTCTTGCAATTGCATCTTCTCTGTTGCATTTTGC